TAAACCATGTGAATCACTCCTTGATTAGCTTTTAGATATTGAGATTTCAGAGCAAGAAAGCTATTATCTGTATCCCAAATTTGCTAATTGAAAAAAAAAAGGCAGTTCAGGATATATAAGCTCATGATTCCTTTTGATAAATCTGCTGTTCAGAATGCTCAATTATCAGTATAACCAAAACAGCACATTTAGTCTTTATTAGATGTGTGACCACATTCAAAATCTGCTGTTCCAGAAATATCAATTTCAAAAGAACATGCGCAAAATAGAATTCAAATAATGCAAAAATGTTATGATATTGATAGATAACCTCACTGGTGCTCTGTGAAGTATACTTACCATTCCAAGATGAAAAGCAAGGATATAATTCAGTAGCACAGCCTTTGCTTGTCATGCCACACTCCAGGCATTCATCCATTTATAACTTTTCTATCTCTAGTCTTTCCAGAGCATTATTCATCCCAGTTGAAGGGTCAAATCCCAGATTTTTTTCATCTGTCAGAAGTTACTTTATTCAAGTTACTTCTGAGAAAGGGGAGAAATACTGGGTTTTTGTATGATTTTGTATGAAAAGAGAAAGGTCAAGCAAAAATAATAAAATATTTAAGCTATTATTTAAAGAACACCCATTATCTTTCAATAAACGTAAGCGAATTAGAATACTTCTAAATGATGTAAAAATGAAAGTAAATTGCTTTTGTTTGGAGAGGGTCCTTCTAATTTGAAGCATTGGCCTGTAATTTATCTGAATGAGCTGCAGGTCAGATGATGTTATGCCTTTGAATAAAACCTGTTAGATGGAAAGGTACAGTCAGTTTCCTTTTGATTTATTGCTCTTATAAGCAGCTCTGTGGCTACAATCCTTTATAAGGTGTCAAATTTGTGTCACCACAGCATAAATCGGCTGTATGACCAGTGTAACACATCTAGGCTGTGGGCCGTGAATTTGACAGTCCTGTTTCATAGGTAAACCCAACATTGCAGGTAGCCAAAAATCCCCAATGCCACTATCATCAAGAAGGACCGATAAGAAAATAGAATGTGGTTTTCAGAGCTAAATGGTTTTGGAGAAAGAAGATTCAGAATTGAATATGTGTATCCTAAAACTGCTTGCAGACCTGTGGAATTAAAAGAAAAACATTCTACCAGTGTAATTATTAAAGCAAAAGCCAATTGCCTGGCAAATTAGGGGAAGGGGTGGCAGAGAAGGTTGTATGGAGAGTAGGACCTTCCTCTCTCTGCCTCATTCACTGTTATCCCTCTGAGGCAGTCCCCACAACAAGCACACTCAGGAGTACTTAACTCTACCTTTATCAGAGTTGGTATTCAGCAGGTTCTGACCAGTTCTGGAGAACCAGTAGTGGAAATTTTGAGTAGTTCAGAAAACTGGCAAATACCACCTCTGACTGGAGATTTTACAGTATCCTTCCCACGCCACGTCCACAGAACCGATAGTAAAAATATTTGATTCCCACCACGGACCTTTATTGTAAGGCTACATTAAGAGAAAGTAGCAAGGCTAAAAGTATTTCTCTCCCCTCCCCACTTTCCTTTTACTCCCTGTAAAACTAGGGAGATTCCCTTCTGAAACATTTCTCACAACATCCCTCTTTCTGTGGGATAAGACATTCTTTACACACTGGTTAGCCATATCTCCCAAGGTCCTTCTCACATACCATTACATTCACTGAATTTACAGAATGAGACTTCCGGATGTTAGATATTGTAAATTTCTATTTCTAACCCTTCTATGATTTCTCCTTGCTTCTTTTCCAGCTTTTTTTTTTCTCACCATGAAGCATCTTCCAACAAGAAAAAATAGGACTAATTCCAGGAAATCTTTTGACTAGGGAATGTGCATCTTTAAGTACCCTGAAATCTATAGAGAGATGATTTTGATGCTAAATAAAAATATATGAACAATCTGCTGATGTAGAGCTGCAATACTTAATAGTGAACACCAAGTGGAGCTCAAAACTGTATATATCCTGCTCATGATTCTGAATATTAAACTTGCTTACAGAAGATTTCTATAAACAGCTCAATTGTGAGTCTTCAGTTTAAAAGGCTGTGATGGGATGATGATTGGAAATTATTCAGGAACAGACTAAATACAATGAATTCAGTAAAAAGCAACAAACAAGTGCATTGCTGTAGGCAGCCAGGTATCTGCTGAAAATCCTAAGGATGGCAATTTGACAATAAATGAGAAAAGGGAGATAAAGACATGAAATGTATATTTAAAACATACAAGTGCACCCACCCACATACATGTGTGTGTGTGTTTGTGTGTGTGTGTGTAGCAGGGGGAAAATAGCATATTCTTTCCCTTGTGCACATTTCTTTTGTATAAGACAAGCTTACCTTTACATTGCGAAAATTTTCCTGACATGGAAAAAACATGTAAAATTGTATGTTATTAAGCAAAGATTAACCTATGATAATAACAATACAACAATGCAGATATAAAACACATATCAGCTGTATTTTTTGGTCTGTATTTATTATATATAAATATATGTGATCCAAATTAGCATTTAACTATAGGGAGAGTTTGCATGTAATTATAGGTAGTCCTCAACTTACAACAGTTCATTTAGTGACCGTTCAAAGTTACAATGGCACTGAAAAAAGTGACATGACTGTTTTTCAGTTACAACCCTTGCAGCATGATCAAGTGATTAAAATTCAGACACTTGGCAATTGATTCACATTTATGACTGTTGCTGTGTCCCAGGGTCACGTGATCACCTTTTGTGATCTTCTGACAAGCAAAGTCAGTGGGGAAGCCAGATTCAACCTGGCTACTAATTTATTAACTGCAATGATTCATTTGACAACTGTTACAAGAAGGGTCATAAAATGTCACAAAGCTCACTTAACAAATGCATCACTTAAAAACAGGAATTTGGGGCTCTATTGTAGTCATAAGTCAAGGACTACCTATAAAAAGAAAATATGTGGAAATATGTGCCATTAATAATTTGACCCCCAGCCAAAAGGACAATTTGACCACTTCTACCGAATCTTTGCAAGGATGAGAAGTGATGATAAGGATCATCTAATCCTATTTCCTCCCAGTGCAGGGTTTGGCTATCAAAGCAGTCACACAACAAGAAGTCATCCAACATCTCTTCAAATTCTTCCAGTGGAGGAGTGTCCATCACCCCATGAGGCTCTCTGTTCTATTATTAAAAGCTCTTGTTTTTAGGAAATTTTATTTATTTAAAATTTTTATATACCTGCCAATTCTCCAACCAACTCCAAGCAGCTTCCAGTCCAATGATATCCAATCTGCTTCCATTTATCCATATTTCTATATCCATATTTATTCAGTGAGGAAAAAAAAAGACTATGAAAGGACAAGAATCCTCCTTGCCATCTCTCCAATACTAAGAGAAGTTGGGGAATTGGAAGAGCGATCCATGACTTCAAATTCTCTTTGATACCTGATGATGGCAGTGTTGTTGTTCTTGTTGTTGTAATCCCAATAAACTGGACAACCCAGAAAAATCTTTGTGGCAAATTCATTTGTTCGGTTAAAATATATGGTTTATTTAGTTTTGCTTTATTGAGCCCAACAATAATAATGTGTCTATTGTGGTGTATTGCATATCATATTATATGAACCCAATTGTAGCTTATTCAAAAATGATGGTGGAAAAATCATGGTTGGGCTGGGATGTGACCTCTTGTATAGATCACCTCCTTGCCATCCATCCTGAATAATTTTGTTTGTGTTGTTCAACTGGCATGCCAACTGGTTCCAACTCAACTGTGAGTTGAGCTGATAATGCCAATTTCCACAAGTAGCTGTTTGCACAATTCTTGTCTGCTGAAGCCCAAGTTGGATTTTATAAACTTCCTATAAAACATGTTCTCAGCTTTTGGATCACTTCCAAAACATATGTCCATTATTTTTGGAGAAAAAGGCTAAACTGCTCTTTTTTAAAAAAAAATCCCTTTAAAAACAGGAATGGAACAGCAGCAGCAAAATCAATACAAAGATGGACAATAAGATCCACCATCATTCTAGCTGGGTGCAGCAATGGACACTGATTGTAGTGATTTTTCTGTTAATCTCCATGGCAATGTCAAAAAAGGGCTTCTGTGTAGTGGGTAAAACAGGTGAAAGGGAACTCAACTGGAAATTTCCTTATGTCCCACCGCTGTAAAGTGCCAACTTGTCTATAAGCCTTTTTATTTTGGCCATGCCAACTTACCTATCAACCTTTTCGTTTTGGGAGATGTGTCTAACACTGTCCCAGAATAGCACTAGATACGAGCTCAAAATTAGTCGAAGTGACAACACTGCAAGACATTTATTTTCAGTATGCTTGTTAAACTGTCAGTGTCACTCTGAGAGTTTCTGTGGGAGGAAAGGTGTCAGGTCCTGGATTTACAGGCTCCCATCTCCCAACCTCACTCTATCACATCAAGAAAAGCATTAGGTCGATGCTTTTCCCAATTAGCAAGTGGAAGTGGGATCCCTACAATGCAGCCTTTTGCACTCACACGCTACACAGCAAGGACATCACCTTCTGACCTCTTTACTGAAAGATAACAGAAATCAGCTGTCAAGACAGAGTAGATTACTGTATACTGGCCTACTTTTCTTTTAGTAGAAGAAGTTAAAGTAGCTCCCTGGAATATTGTTTTAAAAGGGCTCTTTTCATAGCACTGCTTTGCCTCCCATGTTTTGCATGGAATGTGTGTACCTACCTTGTTCATGAGGTTCCTGACGACAAGCATTCAGAGGAGAGATTCTTAATACAAATGAACCTACCTGGGTAATAGAAACTTTGGGTTTCTAGTTACATCCAAGTTTCCACATTTTTGGATGCAAGGTTTTTGCAAGGGTTACTTTTTGTGCAGTTGAACACTAGTAGCATCTCAATATTCCTGCCTTTAATGTTTATGATTTGGGGATATGGTATTTTTCATTGTTCTTCACTAAACACAATAAACATTTCAGAGAAATTGCATTTTAGAAAATAGTTTTATTCCCATGATAATGATGGGTTTGAATTATTGAAGCATTGAAGAACCAGTTGTATAACGATGAGGCAAAAACTTAATAAAATTTATCTTCTATTGATAATAACCTTTCTCTTTTGCTCCCCACTCAAATTAAGCAACAAAACAACCCAAAGAGGAGACTAAAACCAAAAGGTACAAATAGGATGGGGATGAAGATGATCAGTCTTAATTACTTGTAAGTTCAACAACATATTCTTTAAAATATCTTCTCCACCACCCCTTTTTCTCCCCAGAAACTCCTGTTTGTAAGTCTTTTGGCGAAATCATTCATTACAAATTTGGCCAACTAATTTTATCTCAAGGAACACTACAATAAATAATATAAAGTACACTCTCTTAAAATAATCTTATAATTTGATATATTCTTCTTGTTCAAAGCCTATTTGTAACCCTTTTGTCTACTGCAAAGAAACAAACTCAATTAAACAGTTAACAACTTGGTAGAGAGTTTATGAATCTGCAACTTTTTATCTCCACCGAAGCAGCAGAAAATTGTTAAATCCATCCCAGAACAAACTTGAACATATAGGTAGAGTAATAGATCTCCTATTGTCTTTCATATGGAGAACTTTGAAGGCATGGCAAGAAGGGAAAACCCTAAAATTAATTTGGATTTACAGAACTTAAAATAACCTGTTCCTATCTCTATTGGTATTTAATCACTTGGACACAAGAAGTCAGGGATTGCTGAAATTGAAGTTCACAGAGCAGAAAAATTAAAGCAATATATGCGGCTGTTGTGTCTAATAGAAAGATTATCCATTAAAGTGCTATGGGTGTGCAAAGCTCTGGAATAAGAGGCAGCAGCTTAAAATAAGGAATCAAAGATACCAGTAAACCAGAGAACTTCAGTTTCAAGGATAGGTGAGGAGGAATTACATAATTGGACCAAACCAATAGCAAAGCTCTGGGGAGATTATCTATTTTCTTTCCTTTCCTTTTCCCTATAGCAAAAAAGGACCAAAAGGATATCAAGTCAATAATTCTGCCACTAACCATCAGGTCAAAACCTATCAGGATCAGCCACCCCCAAATCATTGCAAGATGTCATAAATCCAAAAAAATATGCCTCATTTCGCCAACCTGTATTTCTGGTTAACAGTTATTCCTATGTATTGCAGCAGTTTCATTTCAATTCCTTATACTTTCTTGGTAGATTAATAGGCAGGCTGGATTTATATGCCACAATGCCCTCCCTTTTTCCTACTAGTTGAATATGCCAAAATCTTACCAGCTTTATCAAAGAAAGATGACAGTCCTTCTTATCTTGGAGACTTTCAGATATGTTGAGCTAGGACTCTCTGAATCCTTAGTTATTGGCACCACATTAAAGAAGGTTGCCCAAATCCAAGGATCTGATTTCGGCCCATTTTTTTTATTATTTCTTCCTCCAAATAAAACCAAGTTTCCAGTATCTTCCTTTCTTGAATATTTCTACAACCAATATTCTAACAGAGCCCGGGGCATATAATTTATAAACAAGGGCAGAGCAGTCTTCAGAAATGATATGCAAGTGCTTCAGTACTCAAAGGAGATTAAGCACAGCACTTCTCCACTATACATTAGCCTCCCTTTTTTCCAGGCTTCCATCCAAGTCTTAATGAATCTATTCATTCAAAATTAACATGACACTTAAAGCAGTGGCACCTTTTTTTCCTCTAGGGTCACGTAGAAGCCTGAAATATCTATAGAGGAGAAACTCCTGAGGTCTCTGTGTTATTTAGAAATAACAATGGTTGCTTACAGTTCCATGCCACAATAATAAATCTTAGTAACGAGCAATCCTCTTAAGTGTAAGTAAGTACAGGATCTGGCTGATTTCAAGAAAAGTTAAGCAAAGTTGATTAAAACTACTTAGAGAGCAACAATAATAAATTACCTCCATATTGTTGCAAAGTAAACCACATGGATGTATCCATGAAGTCATAATTCTTACCTGTTAAAATCCTTTTAAAGGAAGATCCTGGGGACTAGAGGCAGGAAGTAGATTTGGACCCCAAAATTTATATTCTTAAAACATTGGGCTGGGTAAGAGAGAGTCTATCACAGCATAACTGATAATGGTAGGAGCAAGCAGCTACAAATTCCCCACTATGGATATAGTTAACATGTTCTGCCTTGATGATCATCCCTGGTCCTCCCCTGGCCCTCCCCTAAATCCAGCATGTTTCTGGACCTGCATATGAGTAATCAATAGTAACAGATTTAGGACTCTGACTTAACCCATGCCAATTCTTCTTATTTCTGTTTTCTCTCCTGGGGGCCATATGTTTGTTGCTTTACCTGAAATTTGTCTAGCATATTATCAGAAGAGGAAGACAAGCTAATTACCCAAGTTCACCAAGGAAGAAAGAAGCAATAGCAGAATGGGTCAACACACAAGCTTACCACAAGAGAAGGCACCTCCTGCAGCAAAGACAAAGGAGACTAGCTAGCCTTGCCTCCTTGTGGGCTCAGGGGAGTGAAAGAGCTGCCCTGCCTTGCCTTTTATCTGCCCCATATCTCAGGCCAGGCTATCATACATGCTGGAAAGAGTTTTCCAAAGTCAGTAATAAGAGCCAGACAGCAATTTACAGGGAGGTCAACGACTTTCTCTCTGCCAGGCACATGGCACATACCACACGTACATGCATGCATTCTGTATGTTCAGAATCTGTTCAGCATGCAAAATACGAACCGAAGGGCCCTGAGCAGAGGCACTGGAGGGCTGAAGCACTTAAGGCAGCCTTCTCCAACATGATAACTTCCAGGTGTGCTGGCTGGGAATTATGCAGTTATCGCAACAGGCCTGGAGGTTGTCAGAATGGAGAAGGCTGATTTAAGGTGATTTGTGTTGTAATTCTTTTCTAGGCACTGGAAAAGATCTGGCAATGAACAAATCTTGGGAGAAAAATTGAGAGTTATCTTTTTCTCCCTTTCCCCCACGGTGGCGGGCTGGTTGCAGCACCATAAGATAGCAAAGGAAGAGATCTGTGGTAGTTTAAATTGATAGAGGAAAGGAGACCATCTTCCTCCAGAAGCTGTTTGGCTTTGGCTGGGAACAGGAAAGAAGGACTTTAGAAGAGCCAGTCTATGGTCACTGTCCACGCCAGCCATTCCCCAAACATGTGGGGTAATTTGAGGCACCAGCGGAGACCAATCTTCTCCCTGTCCTCAGGGAATCTGTCCCCACTCTTCCAGCCCTGAAGTATAAATAATTTAAGGTCAATGTGAATTCATCATGATCTTGTGGGAAAGCCCAGGCAGTGCTGCTGGCAGGATGAGGATGTTAAAGAAGTTGTTGGCACAAATGGCAAAGAGGGAATGGAGGGAGTCCCCAGACAAGGAGGGGCATTGAGTTACAGGCCTGGTCAATGATGGTGTGGTTTGGGGGTGCAAACACTACAGCCATCAAGCTCTTCCGTGGAGCTGAAGGCCAATCTCTTAGGGACAGCCGCTGTCACTCCCAAAGGTCTGAGTGGGAACAAGCTTCTCTCTAGAGGGATAAAAACCTGCCCTTGAGGCCTTAACGAATATAAGCATCACGCCCCCAGTCTTCCACATTGTTTTGGTTATGACCTAGAGCTTCCATCTCCTCCTCTTCCTCTTCCTGGCAATAGCGTTCCCGCCCTTTTCCCCGCCCACGCAGAGACCGGTTATGGTTTTGTCGGTCAGGCTCCTCAGCTTCCAGGGAGCCTTGGCACTGAGGGGGACGATGACCGTGGCCCTGGAAGTGATGAGGCTCAGGTTCTTCAGCCTCCCAGGCACCCTGGCGGTGACTCAGGAAAGGAGGCTCCGGCTCCTCATAAGGGTCAGTTTCGATATCCATGCAGGAATCCGTTGGATCAGTGTAAGCAGAATCACGACTGCCCGGCATCTCTGAATCAAAGGTGTCTTGTCGGGAAAGGCCTCGGGCACCCAAGTGAGAAGGAGGCACCATTGAACGGATCTGGCCATGCCCCATTGGCTGCCCTGTGTAGCTGTGGAGGCCAGGATGCTTGGGGTCATGAGGCTCCTCCCCATGTACCAAATAGGGTCCCTGATTGAAAGAAGCAGATTTCGCACACCATGCAAACGAACAGAAGAAAAAGATAAAACAATGTTAGTGCAGCCACCACACAGCAGCAATAATATCCTCCAACTGGTTAGAATGAGACATTCTTGAACTCTAGTCTTGTGAATCACCCTAGATTTAAGAAAGCAATCAGCCTTCCTCTCCTCAGGCCAAGACAGACCATTCTCCTTTGGCAGTATTTCCTCTTCTTTCTCCCCAAACAGATGAACAAAAAAAACCCCCATGCATCTTAATGCCAAAGAAACTTGCAAAGAAATAAAGATGGATAACTGAGGGACTGAGAAATTAGGGATGTCGGGACAGTGATTTGGAACATTAGTGCTGCTGGTTAAAGTCCAGACTTAATGGCATAAAGTGTACTTTTAGGCAATAATGTATATTACTTCACTTACTTCAACAGAAAACAAACCATGCCATGCTGTATTTTAGCTCTCCAAACTAGGATCTAGAATTTTGCCCCCAAATTCTTCCCTGAATGGAATCACCAGGAAAAAGGGAAGTAGCTTCAGAGAAGAATGTTGGTTCTGGCATGTTGTCAGAAATTGCTGTTTAGATGTCGTTTTGGACAAGTTATGTAGAATCAATATGAACTAGAACAGGAATGAGAATTTTCTGGCCCTCCAATTGGATTTTTCTTACCACTACTCCTTCCAGATTTGGCTATGTTTCACTCCTTTTACTCCACACACATACATACATGCATGCATACATACATACAAACAAAACAAACAAACATGTACATGCACACAGGTAGTTATACAGAAAAATGAGACTTTTCTATTGTTTCTATAAACATTAGAAAGACTTACCACTCAATTTGATAACCTGCAAGATTTCAGCATATATAGGACATGTTACAACAGGTAGTCCTCAGCTTATAACCACAATTGAGCCCAAGATCTATATTAAGTGAGGCAATTGTTAAGTAAGTTTTGCCCCATTTTAAGGCCTTTCATGCCACAATTGTTAAATGACTCACTACAGTTGTTCAGTTAGTAGCACATTGTTAAGTGAATCTAGCTTTGCCATTGATTTTGCACATCCAAATATCACAAAAAGTGACTCTTGGACATGGCAACCATCATAAATATGAGTCAGTAGCCAAGTGTCTAAATTTTGATCACAGGACCACGGGGAGGCTGCAACGGGTATAACTGTGAAAAATAGTCATGGGTCATTGTTTTTTCAGTTCTGTTGTAATTTTAAATAGTCACTGAATGAATTGTTGTAAGCTGAGAACTACCTGTACCTGGATTTTTGTCAAGTTCTGACACAATGCCATTTATATAGCTAATTAGTAGATCATTAGTCCATTGAGTCTCATCATGCAGACCCATAAAAAAGCAAGGGAGGCCAAATGGGAAAAGGAACAACTTAAGGATCAGCTTCATAGATATGGTTACCACTTCAGAGCCTGCACTGTTCTAAAACAAAAAGCATGTGATGTTTTTCATCATATACTCAAACATCTATTTGAAACAAGGAAAGCTCAAGTTTCTGAATGATAGGAACAGATTACCTTCACTCCTGAAAAAAAAAAACTATTATAGTCATGGTGCAAATTCATATTTTCAGCTAAAGAAAGAAACACATTAGATGAGCCCCCATACCAGAAATTAGTTCACGAGGTTTACTAGGTGCAAAGATGAGGGTCCTTGTTAAAGTAAAAATATAAGACATTGCATAATCTGATGTGGACAGTGCTGATTCTGATAGTTTGATGTTGACTTGTCTACTAATTGCTAGGAAGCTAGAAGGGATGTTGTTTTGATAAGTTGCGACAGTGATTAAGTTTTTAGGCAGTATATTATTTGGAGAGGCAGTAGTAGTGAATTTTTTTTTTAGATTAATCTCACTCCACTAAAGCTTCCCCAACCCTGGTGTATTCTAGATGTGCAGAA